TGCCTAGGCCGAAGGGCAGCCCCCGCAACACTGCAAAGAGCCACTCCTGGAGCTGCGGATGCAGCACTGCAACGGCATTAAAGCGCATCTGGTGGACTGACGGGAACAACTGTCGATATCCCTTGCTCCAGTCCTCGACAGACCCTTGCAATGAAAACCACGACGGGAGTCCGCCCATGGTTCTGCACAGCTGCATCCCGAGGGCTTTCACGATCAGGAACGGCAAAACCGGAGGGATGTGCACGACGGTATCCGTCATGGTTGTCAGGGGATTGATGCGGGCCCGCTTGCCGTCGTCGATGGGGCGCCCGTCGTCGAGAACATGCCTTGGCAGAGGGCGGAAGCCACCCTTCCCGAAGATCTTCTCCATCTGCTCGCGTGTCCTCAGCGGGTCGGCCAGACCGGCCTGGATTTCCTCCATGGTCCTCTCAAATATGGCTGTTGTCCGCGGCGTGACCAGCGTGTCGCGCACGAGGGCGTCAACGACAGCTTCCGCATCTGGCCCGAGAAGCCGCTCCCCGGCTCGAGCGCGCGTGTTCCCACTCGTCGTCGCCTCAATCGGCCGCAGCCCGCCGGACGGCTCAATCTCCCCAGCGATCGCGAATCCTCTCGCCAATCGTCTCGGGAGGGCCCTGTCCGGCCAGTCGAGGAGGACGACCATCATGGCAGCGAACATCGGGCGCACGCCTGGGGCGCAGTCGATGCGGACGTGACGCCTCGCCAGCAGGCGCTGGTCAATCGGCTCGACGGCAGCCGCGATGGCACGGAGGACGCCCAACCTCTGGCGCCGCACGGTGCGGACCTGGGGGCCCAGGGCGGCGTAGCAGTCGACGCCGTACTGCAAGTCAATCTCCAACCTGGGCTCCTGGCGGAAAGGGTGCTGGAGGGCCATCGCCTGCTCCGCGCGGCGATCTGGCCCACACCCCATGTCGACGAGAGGCGGGCCGCCCAAGGGAGACGTGCTCGGCCGGTGCTGCTTCGCCTGGGCCCAAGCCTGAGGGGACTTGGACATCAAAGCCTGCATGTCCGGTCCCCTCATGGAGGCGGGCGCGCCCCGACTGGCGAGGTATGCGTCGTACTGCTGGAGACCAGCCACGTCCACGCGCGCCAGCTGCACGCCAGCCTGGGCAACCTCGGCCCTGGCAGCGGTCGCGGCCCCCGGAAGCAGCTCCAGCGCGGCCTGCAGCACCTCGGCGGCCCAGCGGAAGCGCGGCGATGCCATCGCGCCCCCTGGCAGCTCCTCATCCAGCAGCCCTCCCTGCTTATCCTCCTCAAGGCCTCCGTGTCACTGAGGCGGGAGGATCGTCGGAGTGGCTGGCCAGTGAACCTGCGGCACGGACCGCACGAGCAGGGTGAGGAACAACACCGCCGAAGGCACGTGGATGGAGTTGCCGATGGCGTTCAGGCGTGCAGCGTACACAGTCTGCGAAGCCATCGGCACCAAGTCCTCCGTGCAACCCGGCGGGGGGCCCATGAGGACCTCGCATTCGGAAGGCGTGAGCGGACGCGAGTCCTCGCCGCTCCACAGCACGTTGCCCTTCACGTACGAGGCCAAGGGGCGCAAACGACCTGACGAACGAACAACACACACCCATACCCATAGGGAGTCGTTGGGAGGAGGACTGGCTATGGGTGCGGGTTGTCGGACCCTGGGGAACGCCCCCGTTCGAGCGGGGACCCCCATCCGACAACACGCACCCATAGCCCTCTCCGATCCCCCTGTGGGCATGGGTGTGTGTGTGTTGTTGGTTCGTCACGACCATCATCGAGGAACCTTTGCACGACGAAATCGTCGTCCTGGCTGGCAGGCGGCGGCCGGTCTGCTGGGCGGGGCCACGCGTCCGTGAACGCCAGGAAGCGCCCGGTGGCGTATGTCGGGGCGAACTTGGTTCCTGGCACCGCCGGCGCGCGCCTGCCCGACTGGCCGGAATTGCCACGAATAGCCCCCTTGAGGCGTCCACGACAAAGGCCACGCTGGACCCGTCCACCGCGCCACGGCCAGGCCCTGCGCGAGTTTGCCCGGGCGGTGTAACTCGATGCAGTTCGCCACGGGCGTCGCGAACAGGAACTCGAAGTCGCTGGCTTCCAGGCCCCAGAACAGGCGCGGCCGGTGCACGTAGCCGAAGTCGGCCGCGTGGACGAGCACAGGCTGCGCACCCAGGGACTCCGAAATCTGCTCCCTATGACAAGCAGACATCGTGGCCACTTCCTCGAGCATCCAGCGGAACCACAGGCCTGCGCGGCGGCAGTGGTCGGCTATGCCAGTCCGCAACTGGAGGAAGGTCCGCAGCGGCGCCGACCTCTCGCCCTCGCAGCTCTTGGCAGCGCCTGTCAAGCGTGACCAACTCGGGCACGGGGGGCACCCCCCCAGGAGCACCAGGTCGGGCGCCACCCTGTCGATCTTCGCTACCACGGTCTCCAACGTGAGCTGCGCCGCGTCTGCGTTCCTGTCCACGCCTGGCCAGCGCTTCGCGGCGAGATCCCGGAGGTTCTGCTCCCGCTCGCAAGCGCGGCCATCAATCAGCGGAGTGAAGCACTCGAATGCGTCGAACAAGGAGCCAACTCCATCACACACTGATATCACCAGCACGCGGCTCGAGGGAAACAGAACGCTGGACCTCGGGGCGACCCGTGCACCCGGCGCGCACGACCCCGTAGCCCCAGGGCGCCCCGCGCCAGTAATCCTCCAAGGAGGATCTGGTCGCGAAGCTGGCCCCGCGCCCAGGGCCACGCTAGGCCGGGCGGCGCCCCAGCTGCCTTGGAGGTCGCCCCGGCCACCTTCTCCGGCTCCACTGACACGACCCCGGTAGTCCCCTCACGGGGACCCAGTGTCGACGTCGTCAGCCGGACGGCCGAAGCAAGCGACGGAGCGTCGAGATCGACGTCTCCGCCCCCCCGCGGCTCTCCGAGCATCGTCTCTGAGGCCCCAGGCCCTCACTTCTTCTTGCCAGCGTAGCACTCGTGCGCACCGTGGTTCCAGTGGTGGCACTTCGCGCAGCGGTGGGCCGCCTTGTGCGGGCACGCCTTCTCCTTCTTCGTGCAGCCCTTGGCCGAATTGAAGTCCGGGCAATACCTCTTCTTGGCCGGGGGCTCCGCCGCCTGGCCGCCACCCGCGGGGCGCTTGACGCCTCTCGCTGGGCCGGGAGCGGTGGCCCAGGGCGCGGCGGCCTTCTCGTCCTCCGGCTTGACCTCGCGGGACCTGCCTTTGTCGTCCGTGGCAATGCCCCACCGGAGGAAGCACTCCTTCTCCCTCGCCACCTTCACGGCCTCGCTCCAGGGATAGCCCTCGCGGAAGAGTTTCTTGGCGGCGGCCCTCGTGGCGAGGTCGTTGGCCACCAGCCAATCGAGGCACCCCGGCGCCGAGAAGCCGTACTCCTGCGCCTTGCTCTGCACGAACCACGTGTACGCCAACGCCTCGTCCAGGTGGCACTGACGCACCTTTTTCCCGGCGTTGTTGGGCTTGTCCCACTCCACGCGGCTCTCCACCACGGACACCCCAGCCATGGCCCAGGACATGCACATGAGCCTGCGCGACTCCAAGAAGCCGGCCAGGTTCTCGTGGGCGCGCGCCGGTGGAAGCACGGGCCCGCCTCCCGTCACCAGGGCCGCGTGCGGCCCCAAAGGTGTGGTCGTGGCAGGGGCGGCGGGTTTCAACTGCGCCTCGGACCGGATGCGCTTCGTATCCGTCAGGGACACGTGCCGGTCTGACGACTTGAACTCCCGCACCATGCGGCAGACCAGAGGGCGCATCGGCATCTGGTCGCTCTTGAAGGAGAAGTTGTCGTAGGCCGCAGCGAAGCCGTCAGCCCGTTGCCTCTCCTCCTCCTGCGGGAGAGGCCCGTCCCAGTCGGCGTCGGCCCTGTCGTCCGAGACGCGGGAGACTGCCTTGTCGAACTCCGCCTTGGCCAACTTCCACGAAGTGCGGAGGCGGCCGCGGACCAAGGCGTTTTCTTTGTACTTGCCCTCGTACGCGTTATCCAAAATCTTGTCCTGGATCTCCAGCTCGTACCTGTTGTCGTGCGCCGTGAAGTAGTTCGCAAAGTCGCTCACTGACGCCAAGCCAAAGCCACCTCCCTGTGCTCCTGGGTCCCGAAGCATGAACTCCTGCAGATCTGCCGGGACAGTCGCCTTGTCCCAGATGCCCCGGAGCTCGGTCAGGGAGGGTGCGGCCATGGCGGAGCGTGGCGTGGCGGTGGCAGCCGTGAGCGGTGGCGGGAAAGACCCGCGGCCAGCGAAAGCCGGGTTTGAGCCTAGCTGGATACGGAAGCGTGCGCCCATCTGCACGCGCATGCCCGCCCAAGGCTTGCTCTTCGCGAACCTGGAACGACGGCCTCGTCACGGAAGCCCCCGTCAAAGAGGGCCTGCGGTCAGCATGCGCCCCCGCCCCCGGGGCCCCGAGAAACGGGGTCGAGAGTGGCGGGTAGTCCCCAGGGGGACCGCCGCCCAAAATATACGAATACACAGATTACAGCCAACCTACACCACATACGTCTGGCATGGTCTATTATGTCCTCTCTCCTTTCCTCTCCCCCATGGTCTCCTTTCCTCTCCCCTCCTCTCCCCTCCTCTCCTCCAGGCAGGGATGCAAGTGCCAACGTGCCCATGTCTAAGGCTTTTCCGTCTCTCGCGCCGGCAGTGCCCTCTCCCTCGCGCCGGCATGGTTCTCTCTTCGCAGCAGGGTGCTTGTTTTGGGCGCCGCCGGGAGCATAATATACACTTGATGCAAGACCCTTGGCGAGGAGGCATAATGGGAGGGAGGGCGGAGGTCTCAATGAGGAGGGGGACGTGGACATGGAAAGGGGAGCAGGACCACGAGTGAGGAGGGGCAGAAGGGAAGGAGCGAGAGGGAGCGGACAGGCGGAGGAGATAGTCACGAGCAGATGAGACTCTTTTTTTCCGCGGTTAAGCAGCCTGCGGAAGAGAGTCTTCCTGCACTCCGCATGCCACAAGCCTCGCGCGACACCGGACGCACCATGATCGCGAGGAGGCCATCGCTCTGTCTACTCCTGCGCCCTCCTCAAAGCCCCCAGCGAAGGCGCGGCCCGACCACCTCCGACACCAGGGGATGGGAAGTCCATCGTCGTCCACCTGGTCGGAGGCCAGGTGGAGGTACGACTTAGCCCCTCTTGGGAGCAGCCATGATACCTCCGCTGGCGCAGTGGCCTCCGCCTCCTCGTCGCTCTCCGAATCGCTGCCAAATGAAGATCCCGTGCTGGACACGTCAACTGCCTCAGCCGCAGGCTGCGCCGAGCGCTCGGCTGCCGGGGCCAACGCAGGCCCGTCTCGCGCAGCAGCCACAGCGCCCGCGAGGCCCCACTCGGCTCGCCCCACCTGCTCCCGGTACTCAGGCACCGAGGGCGCCAGCCGACGGAGGTCCTCCGCCTCCAGCCAATTGCGGGACCCAGCATCATGGAAAGCGGCCAAGATAATGCGGCGGACCTGGGCTGACGATTCCAAGCGGGCGTCAGAATACCGAACAGCCACCGGCTCGCGACAGGCGCGCTGCTTCTGCCCCTCTCCAGCAACCACCACGTCAGCCCAATCGCCCAGCGCGGACCGATCCAGCATTGGCAGCGCCAGCCTGTCAGCAGCCGTCGGCAGCTTCCTGCGCAGCGAGTACGTCGTGACGCCCCGCGCCTGCTCCACGGTCAGTGATAGTAGCGGACACGTCAACAGGAACCGCAGGCATGCCGAGAACTTCGAGTAGACATAGGTTTAGTCAGGACTACGCTCTCGGCTTCGATGCCTTGTCCCCACGTGACCTGCATGTCCGGGATCAGGAACTGCGCCCCGGGGGCGTGCCTCTGCAGCTCCCCCATGAGTTCGTGGAACAGCGGGCGGTGAGGATGCACGCAGGTTGGGACGGCCACATAGAACGGCCTCCCGCCCCGCACCTTGCCCCGGTACACCCTGCCCACAAGCGTCCTGGGCGTGCACTGCTCCTGAACGAACTCGAAGCGCTGCGCGTGCTTGAACCGGAGCGTCGCCACCAGCAAGAATGCGACAAGCCCCGCGAACAAGGACACCGCCCCCGCACCTTCGCCCGCAACCGACAGCAGGAAAAGCCACACCCGCAGGCTGATCTCCTTAGCCATCGGCCGTTCCAGGTGATCGTGCGGCACCGCGCGATGCCCCGCCAACAACGGGGAGTCGAGCGGCAACTGACTAAGCCCCAAATGGTCCCGCAGGAACCGCAATCCCGACAGCACGCCACGCGCTGCCGTTGGACCCCGGGCCCCGACCTCGTCAAGGAAGCACGCCACTTCCAGCGCCAGCGGGGCGGCGGCCGCTGGGGACAGCCGAATCGACTGCGTCTCCCGCCAGCGAAGCCACCGCCGCCAGCAAGCCAGTGCGTGATTGACGGATTTGTCGTCGAACCGCAGCGCTAAGCCCCTGGCAAAACAGTTTGCCCACTGTTCTGCTTGCCGGAGGCGCGTCGCGTTGTCCAACTCTGCACGGTGGGCAGAGAACTGGGCAAGCTCTAGGAGCAGTAGCCCGGCCCTCTTGGCCGCCCGCATCCGCCTTTCCATATCGAGGGCTGGGAGATCCACCTGGGGCCGCAGCTGCCACGTCGTACCCCCCTCCCGCCGGGGACGCTTGGGCCTCGGGGCACCCGAAAGGGTTGGCCCCCCAGCCAGCGCCACCGGAGGCGGAGGCAACAACCTTCCCAACCGCCCCACCGCGGGGGCGCGGAGCACAGCCTGGAAGGACTCGGCCGCGTCGTCCCGCAAGGCCAGCAAGGCCGGGGACGGCGACCCCCCAACCACGCCCGCGAGTTCCTCCGCAGTGAGACTCTGAAGGTCAAGCCTCGTGACCCCTTGGGCACGGATGGCCTGGACCTCTGTGGCCAGTAGCCCTGCCGCTTGCGCCAACTCCTCCACCATACAGGAAAGGGGAATGACGAGCCGAAGCAAGAACAACCCCTTGGGCCACCCCTCCCCAAAAGGCGAAGCTGGGGGCCGAGATGGCTGCGGCGAAGCCGGCCGTGCAGCCGGCCGGGGCAGCCGGCCGCCCCCCCCAGGGAATGTGAGGGGAGCCAGGGTGCCTGCCCCACCAACCCGTAGCCCTGGCACTCCTCCTCCTCCTCCTCCTCCTCCTCCTCCTCCTCCCTCCTCTTCCTCCTCCTCCTCCTCTTCCTCCTCCTCCTCCTTATTCTCCTCCGCGCGGTGCGTCCTTGTTGATGGGCGCCTCCGTAGCGGAGAAGCCGACCATCCACCTCGGCAGAAACCGACTGGGAGGAATCGGACTGGTGGGGGATAGCGCGGAGGCCAGGAGACCAGAGGGAAACATCGACGGCGACGGCACAACCAGAAGCCGACCGAGGCCGACAGCAAAACCGCAACCGACCACGCGAGACCGACAAGCTGCTTGGGCACGGCGACGCAGCAGCCCACCGAACCGTAACGACCTTACGCAACCGACTGTGAGGCCCCAAATCTCCGACGTCGTGACCATGTCGCAACATGGCCCATAAAAAGTCGAGACCGCTTCCCCTGGAAGGGTTTCGCGTCCCGAGTCGTTTTCTGAAGGTCCCTGGAATCCAGTGAGGGCCACTGGAGTTCGAAGACTGTCAAACAAAACCTATCTCCTCCAAGCGGTCTTCGGGCCAGTTCTCGGGCCGCCAGAACCTCGGCGAGGCGTTGCTGCTGGACAGCCTGCCGAGGCGAGAAAATCTCCGCGAACCGACGAAGGCCTCCGAAAACGTCCGACCTTGAGACCGCCGAAACGACCAAACCCACCGATCTGAGTATACACTCGCACAGGTCTGGGGTCGAGGATCTACTGACCCGGGTCAATGCAAGATCCTGCAAGGTCCTGCAGGATCCTGCGCGCTGACCCGGGTCAGTGCACCCTGGATCTTTGGGATCCTGCAAGAGCAGGCGCTCTGGCTGACCCCCGTTTGCATGGACCCCCGTCTCAGGGCTCCGGACGGGGCGGGGCAGAGTGAACGCGCCGGCTAGGGCGGTCGCAACACGTCGGTCAGCAGCTTCTGCAGCGGCTCCCGCTTCGGCACTGGCGTGAGCTTCAGCAGCTCCGCGGCCCTCTCCGCGGAGATCTCGCCGCGCAGCGCAGCCCACGCCTCGAGCGCCACGCACAGAGGAGGGAGGGCCCCGACCTGCCACGAGGGGGCTGATGAACAGAGAGCCACCAGACCTTTCAGTGTCAATTTCCGCCGAGGCTCTTTAGCAGCCTGGATAGGTCTAGAGGCCTGGAGAGCTGCTCATCAGCACCCTGGACATTCAGGGTATCATGGGAGGGAGCCCTCTCCGGCGCCTGCTCCGAACCCCGTTCCGAAAGACAGTATTTGTGTGCGCCGAACGCGGGGGAGGGGGGGGAGGCCCTGGTGGCGAAAAGCACGCAGCGCAGAGCGGTGCGCATCCCGAACGCCATCATCTTGAGGGGGGGATGGGGCACAGTGCGGCGGAGCGCAGCGCTGACGGACCCGCGCCCCGAGCGCTGCGAATCCAGATATCAACATTCTGATTTGCCCCCGTGGCAGGGACCTCGCCGCGCAGCGCGGCCACAACCGACCACCTCGCCGAAGTGAACGCAGACCCTACACGGATGCTTGCGCGGTGCGCACCGTGGCCCGTGGCTGGCAGGAGGAACCGCTGCGGCGACGACCGCGCCCTCGTCGGCGGATGCCACTGGCAGCGCTTGCGCGCCTGGCTTGGCGACGCGAACACCTGCCCGCCCGGGGGATGGCAGGACGGCGCTCTTCGGGCGCTGGCGCGCGCCCTGCCTGCGAGGCGCGCCGGCCCCCCGCGGGGCGGGGGGGGGGTCCGCTGGGGAGGGGGGAGGGCCACGGGCGGCAGGAGAGAGGCGCGGGAGGGGGGGATGCGAGGGAGGGAGGGAGAGCTCCCCCCTCCCTCCCTCACTCCCTCCCTCCCTCCTCCCTCCCTCCGCCCTCCCACGCCTCCCTCCCTCCCTCCGCGGGCGGGGCGAGGGCGGGAGTGAAAATCGGCCCTCGCAGTGCGGTCCAGCACTTGTGCTCAGCGTGCCGCCGCGGCGGCCCCGGCGACGCGCTGCGCGCTTGGCGAGCGGATCGTCCGTCCCTCCGCTCCGCGGGACGGGGGGCTAACCCCAAAAGGTCTTCAATAAACCCAGAAAGGGTCTTCAGTAAACCTCCTCCTCCTCCTCCTCCTCCTCCTCCTCCTCCTTCTCCTCCTTTTCCTCTCGGACACACGGCGGAGGAGGGACGAGTTCCTATTCCTCGCCGAGAGTTTATGGGGGGGGGGCATCATGAAAGACCCTCCGCGGTTAGGAAAAGCTCGGGGCGTTGACGTCCGGGGACGACGCGGCGGTTAGCGTCAGAAGCGGCGGCGGGATGCGCTAATCCAGCGCTCCTGGGCCTAAGCATCCCGGCAGGCGAAGCCCCTCAGTAACCCCACTTGGGCAAAGATCACGAAAGGTGGGGTTGTCGAGTAAACGCCCAGGGCCACTTTGCGAAATCCAACTCTTGGGGTCGGGATGTTTTCGTGCAAGAGACTACACCCGAGGAAACCCAATCAGTGGATGACTTGAACATTGGTACGATGGATATTGAGATCGATTGTGAGATCGATAATGAGATCGATAAGGGGAATCGATGGTGAGGACGATTGTAAAGTCGATCGTGAGACCGAAAGTGACACCGATGCAGTGAGATCGATAGTGAGATCGATCGCGAAATCGCTCATGCGATCTCTAGTGAGATTGATAGTGAGATCGATTGAGATGTCGCTGGTGAGATCGATCGAGAATTCGGTCATGAGATCGATGGTGAGACCGATCGATAAAAAGATCGACCAAGAACTCGGGAACCTCGCCGCCCTCCGAAATCGGTCCCCCGGAACGGGGAATCCGGGAACCTGGGAACCCAGCCTGCCACCAAAATCGGCGGCGAACTTTCGCCAAATCCTTCAACTTCCGCTCGGACCCCTTCAGTGCCAGCACTGATCGGGGAAAAACAAAGATGACCGAAAAGACAATCCCCTCCCGAGCATCCGTCCGTAACGACGATAACGGTGAGTGAAATACTACAATGAAACATATACCCTTCTCCTTTGTCCAAGAGTCCGCGTGAATTTGCGAAAGCCTGTGAACCCCAAGGGGCAGCGGGCACAGTAAAGGAGAATATGGACATACCCCGCGCACCGACACCCGACCCGAGAGACGCAAAAGCTGCTGCTGCAGCGGACGAGGCCACGCGCGCGCGGAGGCGGAGGTGACGATTAAACGGCAAAGGCGCAGAGAAATGGGCCGTTTCTTCGCTCGGCGATGCAGTCAAATCACGAGCGCGCGGCCTGGATCGCCCCAAACTGGCAACCAAAACATATTGCAATGACTACACAGCGAGTACAACAATCTCCATGTCGTCGTCAACTCCCGACGTTGCCTTGCAACTGGAAAACATGCTCCGTGCCGACACATAACGCAGCTGCACTTGCTGACGGGTCTGCACGCAAAACACATTGGCACGATGGTCCATTTACCACTATCCATGAACAGCTGCGATCTCACAGTGCACGCGTTGATGTCATCGTGAAGCCCACCCCTCCAACTTGCACGGCAGCATCACCAATCGGCGCGAGAGACTGGGGAGAGCAACGGTCAGGCGCGCGCCGCGGGCGATCACCCCTGACATCTGGAGAGGCGCAAGGTCCGATGCGAGCTGCAGGTGTCGATGCCAATGGTTGACCTGTGTTTGCCGCTCGTCGATTGAATGCAGGCCCGCGCGTCTGGGAATCATAAAAAATCACGACGCCATCTGCCACCAGGGCCACAAATCACGGCAGCGTCGGGTCGAAGCGGCATTGGCCTTACCTGGGGCCCACGTTCACCCGTGCGTTCCACTCTTCGCCCCAATGCCGCGTAGTCGGGGCGCGGTGGTCTGCGCGCGGGAATGAAAACGTCGACGTCGGCGCAGTCCTGCGAGGCGAAGGCGGCTCGGGCCCGCATCCATTTGCAGCGCCGGGTGCGAAGGCAGCCGCCGCGGGGGCGCCAAGGCCATCGCGCGCTGGAGCCAAGCCAGAGCGATCGGATCCACGCCCATCACTTTTCCCCTCGGAGGGGGGGGGGGGGGGGGGGGGCAGCTGCCGGAGCTGTGTCCTTCGGCGGCTTTCGAAGTCGTCGCGGCATTCATCGGCGTCGCATTGCGAGCCGCCGCCTTGTCGTCGCCGTCGCGGGTGCCTGCCCTGTCAAAAGATCGGGGCGGGTGCCGGCCGTGGCCTCACTCTCGGCGGAAGGTGCTGTGCGCGGCGCCTTCGGCGCGCGCAGTCGCGCGACCTCTCCCCTCGCGAACCGCGCGTGTTCCGGCGCCCAGTTTCGAATGACAGATATTTCGCCGCGCGCTGTCGCCGAGGTCCACGCGGGGCATTGCGGCGGAGATTGCCCTGAAGGCGCTCGCCGTCGTCGACGCAGGTCCTGACCGTGCCCGCGTAGAACCGCTCGTCGCGCATCCAGCGGCCCATCAGGTTGGTCCACAGCCAGAACTTGATCAGAGGACCTTGGCAGGTTCGCATTTCCCAAGTTCACGCGTCGGGCTTGCCTGGGTGGGGCGCGCGGGGTCTCATGGCCTCAACGCGCGTAGCATAGCGCATCTAGGTTTCATTGCGTCGTACTTCAATGCATGGTTCTGGCTTCCTTCAGAGATCCAATGACCTCGCAGGGCCCGCGCGGCTTCAGCATGCTCCAACGCTCGCGCGGTGTCCGGGGGGCAAATCTCCCTTGCCCATCAGCGCCACCTAGCTCCAATTTCGATTGGATTACATCCAAGCGGGGCGTCCTGGACAGAACGACGGCATCGCAGAGGACACCGCCAGCACGGTTGGGTAGCAGGTTCACCGAGCAACTGTCGCACGCACGATTGCGAGTCCGGCACTCCGCGGGCGCGAATCCGTCGGTACCGACCGTTGCGACAAGAGTGAGAACCCGACCAGGGTCCTGACCCGTGAGAGCGCGGCCACCGTTTGAAGGCGGTTGCCCCAGATTCTTTACGCCGTCGGCGCGCATGATCTCAGTGAGATCGAAATCGACCGAATCGGGAGCCAAGCCCAACGAGCAGCATCTCAGTCCCTGACTGGCTGCTGGATCGGCTCCAGAACAAAATCCCTGCTGTGCGCGTTCTGCGGCGGTCCAATTCTGGGGGCCGCGAAGCTGGTAGTCCCGTGAGATTAGGCCAGGCACGCCGCTGAAGCAGCGGCGGTGGGGGCCCCAGATTGGCCTCCAACAGCAGCCTCGGGGGCTTTTGAAACGTCGCCATTCGCTGCAGGAGCTCGCCCCCGCCGCAGCGATGCCGCGGGCTGGGGGGCAAGCGCTCTGAGAACCTTCGGATCCACCGCTGACAGCCCCAGAGATGAGATAGACAGAGGAGTCCTGGATGTTGCGCTAGCAACGGCACGGCGTCGACGAAGTCCGCCTTGGCGACCTATCTCCTGGAGCAAGCCCGACTCGGAAGCAATCCTTTCAGAGGAACACCTAGCAGCGCGGTCTTGAGCGTCACAAGGCGATGTGAGATGCTGTGTGTCCACATATGTCCAAGTGGCGCTGCGCCCGCTCGTCTGTCGATTCGTCGTTGAAAATGAATGCCAGGCTCGCGGGGTGGTTCTGCTTCAAGATCAACTTCTAGAGCATGTACTGCTGAAGCTCAGTGCCCACCATCTTGTAGACTTTGCTCTGGTAGTCATTGAGCGCATGGGGGATGCATAACTCGTGCGCGTTGCCCCCGTCTGCGGCGACCATCTTCATCAACGTGTTCAGTAGTGCCGCGAGTCTGCGAATGAGCACCATGGAGCAAGTCGTATGTCATTGTAGTTGGAGCGTCTGAAACTGCTTGGCTCCCTTCAGATGGTTCGGCGCGCCCCTGCGGTGGTGACCGCCTGGTGGTCGATCGACCACCGGCTGGTCGATCGACGTCGTCGCTTGGTCCGGGGATCTCGACTGGTGAAGAGACGGGGCCATCCACGTCGGCGGGCGCCAGCAAGTCTGTCGGACCCGATGCTGGCATCCATGAGGGAGTTCCCGCGGCAGCGGCAGCAGTTGCCCGCGAGAAGCTGGCGCCGATGACCTCCCCATGGCAGGTGCTCATGTCTGCCGCGG